GAATGGGTCTGCAGAGAGAATTTCGCCGCGATCCCAACTGTCTGTTATCAGCCTGCAGCCAGGGAGGAGAGATCAGAGGTGTGTGTGTGTGTGGTGTGTGTGTGTGTGTGTGTGTGTGTGTGTGTGTGTGTGTGTGTGTGTGTGTGTGTGTGTGTGTGTGTGTGTGTGTGTGTGTGTGTGTGTGTGTGTCAGTGGATGGTCAATTTGGACCAATCAGCGGGGGCGTAACGTAACGGCTCCACCGATTGGTCCATTTGGTTCCGAGTAATGCATGACCGTATCGCGTCATAGATCTGGGCGCGGCTACTGGCCATTCCTAAGTCACAATACCCAGGAAGTGAACAGTGACGTATCTTCAACGAGGCGTTTTGGGGAGGTATTTTCTGTGTTAGAGTTTTACTCGCTACAGGTTGTACTTTGAAGGTTTTGACTCTGCACACCGTTTACATGCATAAAAACCTTGATAACACACAGGGGGACGGGTAATAACCGGAAAAGCATGACATGGGACCTTTAAATTATAGTTTAAGTATTTCTGACATGTTCTGTCATTTTACTGTGACTTTTTTTCATAACATTTTTGACATTTGTCCATGATTTTTTCATTGCATACAATACTTAACGTTTTTTTTATTATATTTGAATCACACATTTTACTAGGAATTATTTTATGACAATTTGATACTACTAAAATATTATTCTTTGACAGATTTTCTGCCCTACAGTACTATAACGTTTTTCCACCTTATGTTGATGTTTCAATATAATTCTATCCTATTTTCTTTTTTGTGTCATACTTTAATGTGACTTTTTATAGCATAATATACTGTGACATTTTAACATGATCAGCAAAATATCAAAATGATTATATGTGAATTTTTTGTTAAGCCCTGATTTTAAAGTAACAATTACATGTATTCACTTATCTAAAGTATGCTCATACTGCTTCAATAACCAATTGTTACACTATAATAATAATAATAATAATAATGATCTCATCTAACTTAAGAGCTGTCAAAATTAAGTCTTTTAACAGAAGGTGTGCTTCAATTATATCTTCAATTACAGACGCCGCCATTAAAGTTGTCTTTCATCCTCCAGTCTCTGCAGAACAAAAGCTACAACCACTTTGCTGCTATCTACTATCTGCTGGTGGAGCGTCTGAAGGCTCATCGCTGCAGCTTCCCCGTCGAACAGCGGCTCGATGCCCGCCAGCGCCGGCCCAGCACCATCGCCGAACAGACGGTCGCCAAGGTAGCCACGGGGCGTCACAGCAACAAGGGGGTCCTGAATAATGTGTACAGAGGTTACCATCCACGCCTCCCTGATCAAAGCTCCATTATTCACACCTGCATCCACAAACAAACGGAGGGACACGATCCATTCATGTATTTATCCGGCTGTCTTCACCTGCTTTCTCTCAGTCTTTTCCGCCCAGCCTTGATCTTAATGCGTCTCCCTCGGTTACATTATTCATCATGTTCCTTTCTTTGGCCACTGTCCCTCCTTAGGGACAAATTCTCTTTCATTTCCCCTCACCATCTACGATCTGGCTTTTTTGTCTGGCTTGGATTACAAAGTCCAATTCGTAATTGCGTTTCTATTAAGGATGTTGCAATGAATTGGAGAGGATGTTTTGATGTAATGTGAAAGTCTGTGTTTTCTCCCTCTCTGCAGTCGAGCAGTGGTTCATCCCAGGTGGGTTTGCTCTCACAGGGTGTCCGTCTGCTGCGCTCCCCTGCTGTGCCCCAAGCCTCCTCAGATGCTTTCACCTTCCCCCCGACTGCATGTTCCCTGGAGCAGAATTTCATGGTAGAGGACGTCAACACGCCCAAAGTAGGTTTAACTACCTGTAAAAACACTATAAGAATTCAGTGTCTTTTTTTTTGTGTGTGTTTGTCCTCTGTCCGTCACATTCGGCTTCTGAGTTATGGAAGTTGTCGTTGTTACTGTCATTATCGGCTTGCACAAGTATGTCCTGAAACATAATCCTGATAAGCTCAACAGTCGTTTGCTTTGGGAGTCAGACAATCTCACTGTGAATCAGAGCGTTGGCTTTCTCCGTCAACCTGCCAGAGTGCAGCTGACTTGTTCAGTTATGTAAGAACTCAGCCAGCACACACATCATACAGGACAGCCACCTGTCCTGCATGGCTTCTAGACACGCACGCACGCACGCACGCACGCACGCACGCACGCACGCATAGATGAAGTATCATTCTTCAAGATTTCTTCTCCATCCCACCCCCCCTCCTGGCTCCTGTAAAGAGGGATGTGTATGTTGTTTTGTGTGTGTGCTTGCAACGTGTGTGTCTGGAAAGCAGAACAATGACAGTGTGCGTTATCTGCGTGAAAAGAGCTGGGTTATGTAAGCGGTCCTGTGATGATGATGATGATGATGTGATCTAATGTGAAGCTGAGTGAACACACATGGACAGGAAGCTGCTGCACTGCTCCAACAATCTCGTCAGCCGCCATGACCCCCTACCCATCAGCCAACAGCACTTTTTCTTTTTTAGTTTTTGGCTTCTGCATTCAGCCGCTTCTTCTCTCTCTTCGTCCTCATTTAAGTTCACTTTCCCCCAATGACCCCCATGCCTTTTCATCGTCTATTTCTCAATGTTGTTTTCCCCTCTTGTCTTCAGTTTGTTTCTCCGTGCAGTGTGTCTCTGTGCGGTGTGTGTGTGCAGTGTGTGTCTCTGTGTGCAGTGTGTGTATCTGTCGGTTGAATAACAGCATTCCTATCCCAGCACACTTCAGAAAGCAGATGGGGAATTGGGCAAAGTTGCTCTTTCTAGACCAACACCAGGCTTTCCGGTTACTGCCGCCACTCATGCAGATGATCTTTGTCTGTGTGTGTGGTTGCGTGTGTTTGTGTCAGTCACATAGCATTTTCAGTCTAAGCTCACTTCCTGTCCCTACATTCCTTTATCCCCACCCTCCATGCCAACACACACAAGCCTGCATGCTGTAACTGACACACACACACACACACACACACACACACACACACACACACACACACTATGAGAAACTATGTTGAAGAGAAGGAAAACAGAAGAAGAGTAACTAAAAGAGCTCTCATTCTCAGTATGGGGTCGTCTTTGTGTGTATTTTCTTGTGTGACGCCTAGTTTGACCAACAGTGTGTCCTGGTTGCCTATTTTTCAGTTTTTAATGTATAGTTATCGTTATCTCTTTCTGTCTCACCTCTTTTCTCCCCCCTTTCTAGGTGAACGGCTGCCTGCTGGATCCCCTGCCTCCCCCCACTGTCCTACGCAAGTCCTCCACCTCGTCGCCTAGCAACATGATGGAGATGTCGATTGATGAGGGCATTGAGACGGAGGAGCCCGATACAGAAGATGATCCGGCCCACCTGCTCTCGGCCTATCAAACAGCTCGGTTTAACCAGCGGCGACACACCCTTTCTGAGGTGACCAATCAGCCGGGGCCTTCAAACCAAGGTATGATGTCATGTCACTGTTCAAAAACACAACTATAGAGTCTGTCACAAGTATGTAATGCTAAAACAAAGATGTTAAACCGAAAGCATTGTGTCCCCCAGGTAAATTATTCACTCTTGGTCACAACCCTTCTATGGGCAGCATGGACTCGGACATCGGCTACGACATGGGCTCCATGCACAGCGACCTCGGCCTGCTGGAGGACCCCCCCTCTCTTAGTGAATTGGTACCAGGCAACAGCTCTAGTCCCGGCGTTACGCCTACTACTTTCTTGAGCGCTCGGCCCGCAAACCAAGCAATGGCCGTCCTGACGTCCCATCACAGAGAGGCGCACAATCGCTCCCCCATCAGCTTTAGAGAGGGGAGGCGTGCCTCCGACACCTCGCTCACCCAAGGTCAGAACCACCAATTTGACTTTGCTCCAAATCCATTCAGTCTTCTTTTTGATTACTCTCACACATTACCCACTTCTCTATATGCACTCAGACTTCATTGACTTAATGTGTCAGGTATCTTCATCAATAAACCCAGGAACTCCATTTTAGGGCCAACCTGAAAATGCACAAAGCCACTCTGTCACCTTAATAGAAAGTTTGACTGCTTGGGTTTATGACATTGCATTTTGAGTGCAGTTAAACAGACGATGTGACAGGAGGCTGCAAATGGAAAGATGATGATGTTTCTTGCTAACTGCCTGCAATAGACAAATCTTTCTTTAAAGGGGAGCTGATCCAAACTGCAGGCGCAGGATTAGCTAGTCATATCTATACTTTTTAGGATGCTAATCAAATCCTTAATATACTAATCCTTGGTACCACCAAGTGCTGATCCACATTAAATCAATCAGTGACGCATTGTGGTACTTAAGAACGCTGCTGGGTGAGAGAGTGTGAGCCGCTGCCAGGTGTGTGTGGCGCTGGTCGAGAGAGAGAGCAGATCAGAGAACCTGAACCGAATTAACTGTCGTGGATTGAGTTGCATTGTGGGAAATGCATGGCATAAAATGGATCCTTCTTACTTGTTTTTTTCAAAATGTCCATCATAAGTCTGACTGTTGAATTAAACCATACTTTTCTTTAATGCAGTATGGTTTCAGATTGTTGGACATCTCATCTCTACACATCTGAAAGCAGCAAGTTCAGACCTGCTCTTTACAGATTGCTGAAAGATATAATGTTACATAGGAAATCACTGTCTGCGGTGGAAGTGAACGTAACCGGTTGAGAAACATGCTTTGAAATCACAGGTCACTCATATATACTGTAATTGTCAATTATATTCTATATCGACATGTAATCTTATAGGCCCTTCACTACCAGCTGCGTGTAAATATAAGTGTCGACGTGCATATGTCTGAGGCTCTGGGATGCACACAGCACCAGCCAGGAGAGAGAGCATTGACACAGACGCAACGCCCTGCTGCAGCTGCTCCATCACACCCCTATAGACACACATACACATGTATCAATGCCTTCGGGTTCGTCTTCTCTCTTCTACACACCATCTCTTCCTCCTCTCTCTTCCCATCTCTCATCCTCTCCAGCCTCTCTGACGACAGTGATGGTGATGATTCATGTTATGAATCACAGACAGATACTTTTGAAGGTTTCAGCCCACATATCTCATTCTCATCCCCCTTCTCTCTTTCTCTTTTTCAATCACTCTCCTTCTCCGTCTTTACAAGCTCATTTTCTCTATTGCTTTTCTTTATCTTATCAAAGTTTCAGTCTGTTACAAGCGAGATTCAATCTTTGGTACATGTTTTCTTCATAGACACATTTTTCTGTGCCTAATGGATGTAAATCACCAAAGCTTTGGACCAGAATAAAAACTAGAATAAAGCCTAAAAATGTTCCCTCCCTGCTCTACATCGGGGCTCCTTCAGTTTCTAAACGTCATAGTTCCTCAGTCTCAAATGTACTGTATTCTTCGTAGATTTTTAAGACCATTCTCAAGATCCAAGTACTAATTGCTAGATGTTTTTTAAATAAATAAATGCTCTTAAAATCTGACAGTTAACATGTAAAATGTTTACTATATAAGTTTAGGCCTGAAGATTGTAGCAAGAAACTGTAGCTCATATAATGAAAATCCTACCTACCCTAAAATGACATTTAAAAAATCATAAAAAGCATAATATGTAATATGTCAAAAAGGAACACAAAATAAACGGTGTCATATTTATAAAGTAATAGTAAAGTTTGTCAAAAAAAAAATGAAGAAATGTCATGGTATAAATGGTCAAGAAAGCCATAGAACAAATAATTGAAATGTCATTAGAATAAGGTATAGTATAATATGTCACTAAAATTGTAATTGAAAGTCATAGCTCTTTGTTGGGTCAAAAAAGTTAAATATATGCAATAAAAAGTAGTGGTGTAATGTGTCATAAATTGACAGCCGCCAAAGTGCGCCCCCATGTTCTATTTCTAGTTACTTAAATATTTATATTTTCTATAATCCTCTTTGGAGGGTGTTGATGCAGTGCACTCTTTTGCGTCAGACTGCTGACTCTGGTTTTAAATAACTCCCACCATCACAGTGAGTCAGGTCCTATCGTTCACAGCCACAGCTCGTCACCACTGGATGGGTCTTATCAGAGCTACTTGCTGTTGAACACACACACACACACACACACACACACACATACCCACAGTAGCTCATGACGCACATCCAGCCTCACTGTCAGAGGGGGGGGATGAAAAGTGCTAACCATTCAGCCGCTCTGCTCACGTCACTGAGGATTGAGCCAGACTTGTTGCTTTTGACATCCTGTAAAGAAGAGAGAAATGCTTCTATGGATGTATTCTAAATACTGACTATGTATTGTGGCGAATTGTTTATGCTTTCAGGTCTCGTTGCGTTTCGGCAGCACCTGCAGAACTTGGCCAGGACCAAAGGTATCCTGGAGCTGAACAAAGTCCAGATGCTGGTGGAGCAGATGGGCTCCGGGGAAGGGGCCGCCATGGGCCCCCTGGGACCACAGCACCACTTGCACAACCTCCTGGAGGTCAGTGCTACTGCATTATCACACAAATATATCCTTCATTCAAAATGTCCTCTAACCAAACCTGTTCTCAGCCTCAGTCCGTCTACTACCCTGACCTCGTGTTGCCCCGAAGAAAAGAACAGCCACCCAGGCTGTTGTGTAACCCCCGGAGAGGCAGCCAACTGTGGCTTGTTTACTGTCTCCAGTTCCCCTGGGGCCTGGAGCCTAGGCCAAAGTGAATGCATCCATTGTTGAAGTCACTCAGACTTACCCATAGTAGTGACTGGCACTCAATGGGCCCAAGCTGCAATCACACATAAAGATGAGCACACATATACACAAAATGATACAGACACACTGCAAGGGGAACCATTTGAGGAAAGGTCTGCAGGCTTTCCGGTTAAGAAAACCCAAATAAAATCAATTGTAAAGGCAGACAAGATCTAGTTGTTTTCCTTTTATCCATCTCTGATTTAATAACACAGCTCTTGGTTGGTTATGATGCTGAGGCCCCATCATCCTTTTTATTTGCTTTCATTTCATTTAACTGCTTTGTAATCGCTGTGGTACATGCCATTTAGAGAAAGGCATCTGAGTGATCAGCCACCACACAGGCATTTGTGCAGGCAGCATCAGTAATCCAGTTCAACCACACCGTGAAGCCCCCAGACCCCGACACAGCTTTATGAGCCCACAGGGATACGTGTGTCCAGAGTAAGTGCGTATACGTGAACAGCCCTCTTCTAATGCTCTATGTTTCTGATTGAAGGGCGAGGCATCCAAGCAGCAGGAGGGCCTAGCTTTATACCAAGGTGGTCCGCCTCTCCTGTCCCGCAGACAGAGTTTAGAGACACAATACCTCACTCATAGACTCCAGGTACAGTCTAACACCAATGACACTCACTCTTAATGACTATACAGTTTATACATGTAGTTTTCTACCTGATACGGACCTGTGTTCCTCCTTCAAGGTCAAATGTCTGCTTAGTAATACGTTAAGTGATATTGTTTGGACATTTAAGGATTATCAGATCTGCTATGATGCAACAGTAATGAAATGGCTTGTAGCCATTGTTACCATGGTGATTACCCTGAACACAGTTATCAGTCCCAATCTCTCTTCTGCCCCAAAGGCCAACGTCTTGGCTAACAGTCCTGCTAGCTGCCAACATTTCTGTCAGGACACTCGAACTTTAGAGCAACAGCTGCAGGAACACAGGTAACTCACTGAAAATACACTTTTATTGCTTTATCTATTATTTATTTGTTTTTCATTTCATTCAATACTTTCACTGCTTTTCCTCTTGTGTTCTTTTAGCTATAGTGACCTTTCACTGCTGGGACATTTTATTTTGATTAGAAAGCCTTTGTTTGAATTGAAATGAATCCAATTTAGAAAGTTATAAGATAAAAAGAGATAAAGGATTAATGCCTATAGCGAAATGTAGGCGTCAACAGGAATGAAAGTGAAACACAGGATAGGACAGGTCAGAGTTCACACGACGAAAATAAGAATAGAAAATACAGAATGTTAGAAAAAGTATACATTCAAATAACAATAGGATAAGGTTAAACTGTTTATACATGAACAGATACAAATAATTATGGATATGATACATGTATACATCTCTATGTGCCAGTGCAAGGTAGGTACACATTGCACAAGTCATCACACCCAGGAATAAAACCAGGTGTCATAGCAACAATTCCCGTACCTGATAATTAGAGAGAAATTATATTTTGTTTCACATCAGTCTTTCATTTCATTTCTGCTGATTTATATTAAAAAGGGGGTTAATTGTTTATGTTTTGACTTAGTTGTAGTCACAGTTTGTGGTAGTCAACGTTTTCATTATTAAAAAAATATGTAAATGGCTGCTTCAAACTCATTCACGCTTTTCTTTATTTTTCTCGTTGGATATAAACCAGTAGGAAACTATCTCTGTGCGAAGAAGTTGCCCCAATTCTCCCATCTACTAAGCTCTGATTGGTCGACAATTTCTTCAACAATAAATGATCACGAAACAGATTAGTGATGTTGACAGCAACTTGGTGGTGTGGGACCAGGCTTATTATTATGTCCACGTATGCGAAACATGCAGAAATATCCAGTTTTTGCCAGCTGTTTGTTATTCCTCATGTGTTGATCAAAGTGATTTTCTCTAAGTGGGGTGTGCTGCCCTCCCCACAGACTGCACCAGAAGAGGATGTACCTGCAGCAGTCCCAGGGCCTGGGGCTGCCGGTCTACTTCAACCAGATGCAGATAGCTGAAGGATCCTACCCACCAGGGGGCCCTGGCCTGGACCCAGCGGGGTCTCAGGGCCCTCCCATGTCAGCCCCCCAGCAGCAGGTCAGTCCTCATCCCTCGCCCCCCTTCAGCCACCCCCACAGCATGAGCTCCCTGATGGAGCCGGGCCAGGGCCTGGTTTATGATCCTTACATGAGCCACCTCCACTACACCCAACAGCTCCCCCCTGGAGCCCACCTCCACCACCAGCTCCACCATCCCCTCCCTCACGATGCCTCTGCCAGCGGCCTGGGCTTCAGCTACCCTGCAGGCTGTGAGCAGCACGTCCTGGGGCCTTCTTTTGAGGGGCTTCACCCAGACCAGTCCCAGTACCTGCTGGACCCTGCCCTGTTGCCCCTGCATGCCTCAGGAGACGCTGAGGCTGGGGGTCTGGGGGGTCCCGGGCACACGGAGGGCCTGGGTCTGCAGGGCCTGGACAGTGAGATGATGGAGACCGTGGACTCCCAGCACGGCTTTGTACTGGTCAACTAACGCCAGCTGAAGGTTAACAGAAAGCAGTATTAAGCAAACCTTCACAGCACTAAGAGCAGAGAGAATGGAGATATAAGTGGAGGCCATATGCGTAGCAACAGGGAAGGAAAAGTGTTCATTTTTGTATGATTAATACAAACTTCATTTCCTAGTGGTGATGAACGTCAGACAACCTTTTCTGCCGCGCCCCTCCCTTAGCATACCTTCCTTTCTCCCTCTATTCCTCTGCTCCCTTCAGCTCTGTGAGGCAGGTCCGATATCTGTCACCATGAGAGCTTTGCCGTGCCCGTGAACACTGCGTCGTGCAGCCGAGTGACGCCGCACATCCTGCCAGAGCGCCGCATTTCTCCTAGAAATGTTTTGGAAGTGAACTAATTTAGGACTGACTGTCAAACAACCATAAGGACAATGGCTGGCAGTGCTTTTGTATTTAAATAGGACACCACCAACAGTAGACTGATTCTAAAAAGACTTCTGTGGATTTCTTTTTTTCTAAAAAACAATTGAACAACAGAAAATAGCCCTCATTTATCACGGCACCACGAACATTGCCGCAAATTCAAGTGGTTTTTTTCTCCATTTTATACAAATGATTTTACAAACTAATGCGAGTGCAAGGCTAATGTCATGGCCGTATTCAAGCTTTCAACACTAACATATACATTACTACTCCTAACAATCATCAGGTAACTCTTTTGTCATTTGCTTAAACAAATACCTTAATCATGCAGATAGAAGCATCAGGTTGGCACCATGTTAAGCTTTTGCTATAAACAGCGCTAAATTCTGAAAATAGTGAGTGAAAATAATAGATACCGCACAATTCTGTTGCCTCAGACTTTGTGTAGGCGTCGGACATAAATAATATTTGTTGGTTTTCTTTGTGTTTTTATAAATTGTAACTACTGATCCTGAGTTATTTCCTACACTACTGAACTGCTTTTCCCCCCACCTGTACATTCAATTGCACACGCCTGCCAGGTCTCATGTTGATGAAATAGCCCCACGGTGCATACACCTGTTGAATTATGGGTCATGCGTTTGCCTGATAAATGAGGGCTGATGTAATTAACGTGTTTGGTTGAGAAGTAGCGTTGTTTTAGACAGTCGATATTATTCTATTTTTGTGGCAATACTGAAGCAATATTAATCCTTAATGTTGAGGGAATATGAATGGAAGCCTCACCTGTACAGCCAACTCTGATTGGTTCCTGGGGACCTCTGAGTCATCAGCAGTGACATCACTTGAGCCGATGATGTAACCAGGAGATAATCCCCCCCCCCCCACTCTCCCCTCACCCTGGAAGTGCAGGGAGAAGGTGTGTGTGTGTGTGTGTGTGTGTGTGTGTGTGTGTGTGTGTGTGTGTGTGTGTGTGTGTGTGTGTCTTCAGATGTTCTGCCTCCATCACATCATTTCTTGGAAAAAGAAAAACACTGTATTGACGTCTCCGTTTACAAACAACACAAACTGTGTTTTTCCACTCAGTGCTCAGTCGGAGCTTTTAGATGAATTCTGGTTTACATCCTCCATGCTCCAGTCATGCCTCTGTGGTGTTTTAACAATGAATCATGTTTGTTATAATGACGCGTTGAAGATCCCCTGCATTAGGTTTCATGAAAGAATGTTTTCCTCTCTGACATTGAGGCCGCAGTGAGACAAAAACCGGCCGAACATCAGTCACCTGACACTGGATTTAGACTACCGGCTCACCGCCGCTCTCTGACTGACAGCGAAACATGACGAGAGATTTTTTTTAATTCATTTTTTTGACAGAACATATGCTGTGTTCAATCTACTTGAAGCGCACTGATGTATCTTTTCTGACAGATGATGATTCCTTCTTAAAAACAACTGCTTTTCCTTGGAATAACAGGATAGTCAGCGTCAGAGGGTTGGGATGACATTATTGGACTGCGACCATCTGCCAGACGGCCCGACCTTCAGCAGTTGTGGGTTAAACTGTTCAAGTGTTTTTCTCAGATTAGCCTTCAAAACACGACTGTTGCTCTCAGCCTGTTGACTAGACTAAATATAAGTGAGAGTTCACAACCAGAGTGTGAAGAGTTTGCCCCTGAGCCTCCAATAGTCTTAAATGATGGCTAGGAAATTTGGACCAACTGTGGTTGCAGTCCTGTGCGTGACTTAAAGGAAAAATCCACCCTAAAATGTTTTCAACACTGTCACAACTAAGTAACCTAGCAACCAATAATCACAAGTTCTGCTGACTTTGTATGTATCAATTAGGTTTATAAAATGTCAACATTAAAAAGAAAAACCCCTTGTTCTTATTTCTCAGGGCTCAAATTAACATATTCAGTTTTATCTGACCAACGAAGGAACAATATGGTAGCTAAATTACTTTATGACTACCTATATTAGCTCTACTGCATTTCTTCTTCAGTGGTGTACTTTTTAAATCCTCTCTATAATTGATTGATCCATCACATTGAGATTTAGTAAGTCACCATTTAGCCATGACATTTAAAAGTCAAGAGGGCATAGATACTCATCACCCGACGACAATGGCCTTGACAGACCAGAGTGCGCTGCAGTCATGCTGAAAAACAGGTCTTGTGGTTTCGTTAATAGTTCCACCCTAAAATACAAATGCTTATTCGGACATACACCCATATTTAATGACAGGAATACGCTCACACCCAGTTTGGTCATGTTAGAAACGTCGTTAGAAAGGGAAGGAACTCGAATACAACGGGGTTTACAGAACACAACACTAATACTGCCGATACATAGCAGTGTAAACGTATCAAAGGGTGGATTTTGCCTTTTAAGTGAATGTGATTGTTTGCTTTCATTTTGTCAATGGTCAGGCTAGAACAGCTACAAGATGATCTGTGGAAGTTGAAAACTGGAGCACTTTGACAACAAGGGGAAGAAGGGATGTAGCGAGAGAGGAGGAGGAGGGAAGGGTTTGTTTCGCTATGCTGTTTCCTGGCAGATCATACCAACCCTAATCTGTAGGAAACCCCTTTCTCCTCTCTCTCTTCCTCACCAATAATGGACACAAAACACATTTCTTTCAAAGAAAGACCAGACACAGTCAAACTTTATCTGATTGTTTATTTTAATCCAAGAAAGAGAAACATTTGTCAGTTTACGGCGAGTGACCTTTGTATAAATTAGTGGTGTAGTGACTCATCGGTGCACCAAGGTGAATTTTGTGTTGAACGTGAAAAGTGTTCAGTGTGCCTTTTTACTTTTTCGTATTTTTAATCTGAATCAAGATTTTGAATAGCACCATTATTTCTGGTTGGACCCTTTTTCTCATTTATTTTCTCATTACTTTTTTTGTTTTTCTTCCCAAAAATAAGTAGAGCCAGGTTTTACAAAGGTACAAAACCAAAGTCCCTCAGAAGTTTCCCTGTACGACCCACCGTGTGGAGTTTTGGAGCTTCTTTTGTCTGCTTCTCTACCGTGCTTTTTTTTTCTTGTTGGTCAATCAGTGTATGCCATTTAAAAGTATTATAGCAATATTTCTCTAGTTGAAGAATAAAGTCATGAAGATTCTAGTGGACGTGTCTCCAAGTATCATCATTTCACCTCCAGCTGATGAAACAAAAACACCAATCTATCGATAAAAAAACTGTTTTATATTTACCTTCTTTGATGTTGACCATACATAAGCTAACTTGCTGTTGAGATTAAAAAAAGGTTTATTGAACATTACATTTTTGTCTGTGTTTTTGTATGTGTGTGTTGCTGTTTGTGGTCCTCTTGGTTATTGAAGTGTTTCCTACCACACACACTCTGCTACCTTCCCCACAAAAGGACATTTTCCTGTAACTACATACTGCAGCTGTGTGATGGCACCCCAGGGTGTCATGGTGTAGGCGTGGGTTAATGACCTGGAAAAATTCACACCAAGTGCTCCACATAAACTGTTGAGTCACAGCTGAACCTGAAGTCTTTGCAACCAGAAGCTCCTGAGGGCGACAAACTATAGGAGCTTCAGTACACGACTCGCCATTTAAATATATGTATTCTCTAAAGCTTGACTTTGCCTGCAAACAAATATTTTTAGTGGCAGGGTTAATGTGATCACAGTCCTGCTCACCGATGAGTTATATATCTCCAGTGAAGTATACAGGAGATGACAGATGTGTAGTTCTCCAATCACAACAAAAATAATCAGTTGTCAAGAGGTTAATAGATTATACATTTTGACACGTCAGTGAATGACAGCGTACCTGGACTGAATCACCCCGAGGCAGAAGGCTCTACCCAGCTGTTCTGACTTACAGGTGAGGAGACAAAAGAGCAGCAATGAGTGTCAATCAACTCGTCATCACCATCAAGTGGAACATTCCGGTGTTTCCAGAGCTGCCCTGCTGAACGATTCACAGCAGCACTTTCACAGAATTACAAAAGTCCTTCCACCGAAACAAAAAGAGACAAAGAATCAATCAATCTTTTAAAGTGTATTTATATAGCCCAATATCACACATTTTACATTTGTCTCAGTGGACTTTAGAGTTAGTTAAGAATATGAATATGACATTGGACAAGGAAAAACTCCTATGTAACCCCGCAATTAATGGGGGTGAAAATTGAAGAAACCTTGGGGAGAGCAACAGAGGACGGACTGACATGCAATAGATGTGGTATGTAAATTAAAAAGATAATACATTTGCAACATAGGTAGTCCAAATGCTTGAAAATGCGTGTGTCTATAAGAAGAAGATTAATTCAGGTGGATTTCAACAATCCTTTGGGAGCCTTCAGGGACAAAAGTTATAAAAAACTAAACTCGCTGCTCTTTTTTTTACAAGTTGGGCACACCGAACAAACCCTTTAAAACTCCATGATGTATCTATGAAACACACCTTTCATCTTAATGGCATCTTCCAGACAACTAAGCACACATCCCTGTTGTACAGCTAGCTGTGAGCCTCTGCAGCATTTTGCAGGCTTTTATACGGAGTCTTTACAGACAGGAGGAGGGACTGAATAATTAATCTTCTCTGATAAGCACCGGGGGCTGAGATCTTTGGTCTGACATCACCTCCATGGCAACTGCCTGTCAATGTTTATCAAACTACATGAAACTCAAACACATTTTTTTCTGATGGTAAAGTGCAGCTGGAGGAGGCCTGTCCTCAGCCGAGCTCTGATTGGTTGACCTCAGCTTCACATCTTTGAAGAAGGCTGCAGACTGGGAATACATTCAGAGCAGAATACTGCTGCTACAAAATGAAAGCATGCCTATATGTTGTTTAGAGCAGAGGTTTGTCCCTGTTGTGTGGAAAGGATCATGAAGAGGGATGTTCAATCCAATCAACCCACACACAGGACAGCTAATCCACTACCAGAGTAGCTAGGGGGGGGGTTTCATGGAAACCAGGGTCTCATTTCTTTTCCTGGGATCAGACCATGTGCATACTGATAATCTGAAACTTGGGATGGGTCACACTCATACTGATCAGATTTCAGTCAACTAAGCCTCACATTTAGCATATGTTGCTTTTAATGCAAAGTGATTTTGACACTGAACAGGGCTGCGAGACTGGCTTTAAATTAAACAAAATGGGATCAATCATTATCCCATTTTTAAAAAAATCTCCTGCTCAACACCACCTGCTCTAGAAAGAAACACCACCACATAAAAGGTGAAGGGCTATTGGCACACTGCCATTCTATATTTGATAAGTATAACCTTGTAGAAAATGTCCCTTTCAGACAGCAGCGATTTCCATAGAAGTGTAGTTATTTATAGTCGGTCTATGTATTCCGTGGCATTGTCTGCCATTGAGACCTTCAGTCTGTCAGAGACACTCTTAGGGGAAGAGACAGAGAAAAGACAGCCGTAATCTTCTTTTTCTTCAATAAAATATCAGAATATCCGAGTCCTATTCACTCATCAGGCCAAAGTATAGTGTAATGACATCAATGGTTGCTATGACAACAGGAGGAGGGTGGATGACAACATCCTACTGCGTCTTTTTTAGAGCAGGAGATCACAGCACTGTTCAGGATTAGAGCTGCACAGAAAATTAATTAATTAATGTAAAAAGAAAAAAAGGCTTGGAGACAAACACATAAGCTCTCAGTGAAGAAGGAAACACACTGCAATGCGATGCACAACATTTAAAAAACGCTCTGCTTGGCCTCTGTTTTCTTATATAAATTAAGGTGTTCCTTGAAGGTCGTACAGCAGTCATAAGTGTGTGCCCCCCATTATTCAGCTTCAGTCCTGAGTCTCTGAACACATGCAGCCGGCAGATGGACAGAGTCTGAAATCCCAGTACAGATGACCCAGAAGGGCCTGAAAAAAACCTCCTTCAGGCTCGAGGCTAGATGTTACCGCCGAGCCAAGAGTCACACGCTCTTTCTTGAGCTGTCCTTGGTCTGATATTATCTGGAGTCGTAAATGTGTGCGGTTTATAAACCCCTGCTGCATCGCATCGCTGAAGGATGACAGAATAAAGAGAGGGGGGAGCTGAAGTGACAAGGTGACTTAAGGAAAATGTGTCTGCCAGCGCTCTGCTTACCCCGACTGATGTTTGTCATTTGTCACAGTGAGAGCATCTGACCTCACTGTGTGTGTGTGTGTGTGTGTGTGTGTGTGTGTGTGTGTGCGTGCGTGCGTGCGTACCATGCTGTGTGGGGGCTTTGCTTGACTCCTTTCATTATATATGACACAGTCCTGGGAGGCAGCTGCATTGACGTCAGGGCTCTCAGCTCTGTCAAGGGCTCTGGCTGCTGAAAATCCCCCCCAAATAACGGGAAGGAAATAGAAAGAAATAGGTTGCTGCTGTTTCATTACGGCCTTGTGAACCCAAGATTTAGGCGGATTAGCCCTCGCCCTCAACTAATCGTGTTTTAATGAAGATTTACAGTTGAAGGAAAAATTACAGTAAAACATCTTTGTTATATTTTTCTTGTGAAAAAAGTGAAAAGTATGTTTTGGTTATGTGTCTCTGAGGTCAACCATCCATCCTCCTCCCACCTCAAGTATAGCAATGGCTCTCAAGGTGGTCTCGCTGTAGCAGAATGTGCTGACACAGCAGATGCCCCCCCACCTGTGAATTACATGTATATTGCAGAATAAGTGCTTAATGTGCGCTGGTGCTGAGGTTTATACAGTCAAAGGGCTGGGAGGCTATGGCTCCAAGGAGGGCTGACGGGATTTGAGGAGATTAAAAAAAAGAAGGTTCTCATAAAGATTTCTGTCATGTGATTTATTACCTTTATCTTCTGTTAATTACACATTTGGAATTAACGGAACAATGTCTGCTGCAGGTAGAGCATACATGCACCCAACTTCACATGTTTGAGAAGTACAAATCTTTCTCAGCCCAGCCCTTATTTCACGGCGCTCCTCTCCCCAGCAGTAGTCGGGGTGAGGGGCCTGAGGGCAGGGGTCAGCTGCAGACCCTGCCCCGCTCTGCAGGGTCCCTGCTGCCTGAAACAGACCTGCGCTTTCATCTCCACAGCAGACGCCCACTCAGTCAGAGCTGACCAAATAACAGACCAGAAACGTGCAATTAATCCCACATTTTCTTGCGTCATTCACGGACTCAGAAGCAATACTCTTCACTTTGAAGGGATATGTTACAAAGCCAACAGAGTAGGCTACATACCACACTGGAACTTCACGTTTTACACCACAAAAGGCAGAGGGGATAATTAGGACATGTTTAATAGTGAATTACTTTGATACTTGATGGTCGACTGAGACTAAAATGCTTTATTTTATTTATTATTTTAAATCGCATGAACATGTTTTGGAAAGCACATCACAAATGCAGGTATAGAGAAATCCTTAAGGAATGTCTGCGGGAGAACGGTCACTTGGTATTTCACAGGAAGGAAATGACACAACCACAGCTAAACTGGAATGGCTTGAAAAAATGATCAAATAAAAAAAATGTAGTCTTTTCACAAAATGATCAAGTCAAAAGTTATCGTCAGAAATTCTTCTCATCTCAAACTATACAAATGATATTTTTCTATTTCACATGAAATGTTTGGAGTCAACTAATAATAAAATAGCAGACTACATCAGTTTGTTTATGTTACTTTATTCAGATCAAGATACAGTAGTAAAGCATCCCAATGTGGAGAAAATGTAAAGTAAAAATAAAGGAGTCTTCGTGATACAGGACAATCAACAATCTGGGTTTATTCAAGAACAGAATG